CTGATGCTGACCACACCCAGAAGTGCATGATGCACGTTGGTCACCGGGTCGTACAGCCGCGTGCGGCAAATCGATTACCCAAAATCGTTCCTAACGCCAGTCTCTCTGTCCAAGACTATCGAATCAGGGGCAGTAACGGAAATTCACTATGGACACTCGGCTCTTATAGTAGTCCGACCCGGCATAACCCCATTTGAATACACGAATTCTCACCCGTCACATGTACGACTCTTCGGAAAGCAAGGACTTAGGGCGAGACTTAGGGAAGCTGGGGGTTACAGTAAGAGTAGAGTGCCCGTAATGAATTTTCGTTCTGTGGATCATTCAAGTACCGAGTGGGAGAAAATTCGAATGCAGAAATTTTTCAAGGTGAGACTTACTCCGGCTTTCACTTGATGCAGGAGTTCGGAGGGGCAGGAGGCAAGTTCAATTTATAAAACAGATCTCCACCCATCAATTAGATCTTCTTCACTCCTAGGCGGATGAATATGGGATCCGCTAGGTGGCAACTACATAGCAGTCTTGCCACTTTTCGAGATCCGTGCGCCAAACTAAAAAAGGGATCGAAAAGGATGCGCATCAATTAGGGACTGAATGTATTCGCGACACGGGTTGGGCTCACATTGATTGATGTTTTGCTTTCTTGGTCTCCCTTCCATGGGCTTATCCTTAAACTGGAACCTTGAAACCCCGAAATAAAAGGTTACACCAGTTCGTAGCCATTTATCTGGTCGTTTTGCGTTGTCAATTCGCGAGATATCGATTGATGGCCGGTGCCGACGCCGACGTTAGGACTGGTACTATAAATGTGCCCATTAGCGCTAGAGGAAGCAGCGTAATTATTCATACGCGCGCAGTCTGTCGAAAATCGTGAAATTTCCATGAGTCCCATATGCTTATTGATTTCTCCCCATTTGCTTCATCCCTATATCCCACGCTTCTAATTCAACAACTTCACGACTGTGCATCTCACAAAAATACTTCGATCCAGGGATGATTAAGAACTCATGTACGGCTACATGAATTCCCTCCTCCAACAGTGGACCCCTGGTTGAGAACACGAACCACAGAAACGTCTTCTTTCTCCCTTCTGTCCATCTCCTACTAGTACACCTCTAGAATGGAAGTCCTTCCTCCCATCCCAAATGACCCTTATTGTTATTCAATTTGTGGCTCATATATATGTGAGGTGATTTTGTGGAAGTACACCAGGTTGTGCAGTTCTCAGCTGCGCTGTCCGAAATAAAACAGTTTGAACTCCCGCCACCTCCTCATTTTCTGTTAGTCGTAAAATAGTGCATAGTCACCGCAAGATGATCCCGGACAACACCCTCCATTTTACAGCACGACAATGTTACGATAGTAATTTGGTCATCCCGGGCTGAATGTCAGGGTTGAATTTTAGGATGTCTGCATGTCTAACGACGGATAATTCTTTCAAATAACCATTTCGAAATAAAAGCTTCGTATTGATCTCCATTAAAATGCCTTTGTATTTGCTTTTAGCATAAATTTTTATATCGATTTTAAGTATGTCCACCCACCAGCCACATCGTCAGTGTTCTCCAATGAAACTGCTTGACATGGGGTGACGATCAGGCGGCGGCTTTTCTGTGGTTTGATCTTGCTATCTTCGATCGTTACCCTTTTGGACCGTCTCACTGTTCATTCAAGTTTCCACGAAAACACGCCCCCCCCCCCCCCCCTCCCCCGCCGATCGATCAGCATCTCAGGGAATAGCTTTCTAATCACTCATTAGTTTTGCTTTTTTGGGTGTTCATACTTAGCGATAAGTTCACTGAGCTTGTAGTATTGACTGGAATGTAGAAAAGGTAGTTTTTCATAAAGCGAACGTCATGTGTGAACGTCATTGATGGATGTTTTGAGTGACGGGGCGGTCGGTTGAACTGGTGTTTCGTTCTTTTGTGATTCCAACACGAACACAGTGTTTTGTGGTGTTCGCATTCATTCGCTCAGTCACCAGCCATAGTCGCCGTCCGTCCGTCCCATCTGTCCATCACAACATTTCGCAATACCAGAAATGTCTAATTCAGTGGTTAGCGCCGTCGAATTGCAGAAACGAATGGCAAATCCAGTTAGAGAGGGTTATCGAGAATTTGACAATGAACGGGACACGGATTCAGTGGTACAGGCTCGTTTTATATTGGATTTGAATTTTTCTTCTTAATTATTTAGACAGTGATACTAGCTCACTGCGGGACTATATCGATTATTTTTCATTTTTATTTGTAAATTAGTAAACCAAAGAAAATCAGGGAGCGGTTCGGTCTATTCCGTTTTCACATCAATCTTTTTGAACTTCTCTTCAGTCTTGGGCTTATGGCTATTGGCCTGAGAGTATTCCACGCTTTATAGCCGAATATTTTTGACGCAGCAAAAGATATTAAAAGTTTTTCCCTTCTGCGAGTTCCGGCCCTAAAGGGCATTTAGATTAATCAGAAAATGTTTGCCTATCTACTATTAG